TTGTTATGCGTGTTTTCCGTGCAATATAATTGAAGTTTTAAGGGCATCGAAAATCATTGAGAAAAGTGCATGCTATTTAAGTAGTCATTTTTTTTACAGAGTGTAGCTTTTGCATGCTGTCGGAAAAAAGTTGGTTTGAAAACCGGCATCCTGGGGTAAGTGAATCATTATAGAATTATGCTGTTTGATGATCAGTTCTCCAACTCTACTTAATTAATCTTTTCGAAGCGAAAACGCATTTCGGAATTTCAGTTGACATTTCATGAGTTAGCCCACCTACTGTAGATGAACAGGGCTGTTCTGTGCGTTGTGGAACTTCCACAAGGAACTGAACACTGACCTGGGTCACTAACAACTCCTGGAGGAAGATGTTCTGTCCATAAGAAAAGCTTTTCACCGAGGCGCCAGACTATCTTGCATTTACCTACCTATTCACCATTCTTGAACTTGCTGTTTGTTTATCTGAATGGAAAGAGCTCACCGAACGCTATGCGCGTGGCATGTGTCGTGGCATCAGGTCTTTTGATATTTGAGTATTACTTATTTCATAACTCCTGTTTTGTCTAGGATTGACAATCGCGTCCTTCGCGCTCACAACAGCCTCGAGAACCGACTGAATCACAACTGAGGTCTTCTGATACGCTGGTCACCCATGCCCTAATTAGACTGCACATAAAGATAGGTTCTGTTGTTCGCGCTCATCAAAAATTTTCAGAATGAAACACTTCTTGAAAGTAGCTACCAAAGTAATGAGTTCGTGGTCGTTCTTCTCATGCCGTTTGGATTATATTGGTAGACTAGTCAAAAATAATATCTTACCAGAGACATGACTAAGACCTGCGGTGCATATGCTTTTGATTGGTTGAAAAGTTGCCTCCAAAACGTCACCTCACTAAAAAGGGATTAAATAAGGCATTTTGCTGATGAATATCCACATACTTCATCCTTTTCAACGATTAAGTCAAGGAGAAAGCTGGAACCTTTAGTCCGCTTCACGGCTTTCCTGAAGAAGACGTGTACTTTTATGATACAGACGAAAAAACTCACATTTCTTCTCAAACTAAAGTCATTTTCGTCATGGTTGCCATGTCCCGCAGAGTGACCGTATACGTATCTAAATATCGCTCAGATTTTCAATGATGCGCTGCTTCCGTTCATAAATGACACTTTAGCGGAAGCTAGACCGCATAGAGGTATCTTGCCATCGCAAAGATATTAAAATAAACACTTGGGGACGGACTTTTGTACGATTTCTTATTGGATTTTTGCAAATGACAGAGAAATATGGGTACGTTAAAACAGAGGCTTGTTTGCAGGTGTTATTGTGGAAATAGTAGATTTGCAAATCTGGATTTTTAGGATCAAACAAGTTTGTGATTTTCTAAAAATACCGCGCTTGTTCACATCCTGAGTCACCTGACTTGAGCAGAAGAAGAATTCAATTTTCAAGTGGGCGGCAGTTGTTTTAGTAAGTTTCCAGTTTAGCTTAACACCCTCCGGTAGATAAACACGCACAGATGAAGAACCTTGGTGTAGGATAATTATTAGCATAGGAAAGTGGTCGAGTATAAAGGCGAAGCTGATTTAAGTTCAAATTTTTAAGTATTTGACCAAATTAAATTGTTTATAAACATAGCCCGCAGGAAAAGACGAGACGGGTTATGCGAATAAGGAAAATGCACAATGTCTTCGGTGTCCCAAAATGGTCATCTGTGCTCTCGTCATCTAGTGCGACGAGTTGGGTCACATACTACATGCGCATACACGACAACACTCGTTGAAATCCTACCCGCTTGTACACACGCAGACGGCTCATGATTCCTCCCACTGAAACCGTCAACTCCTCCAACATTGGTCCTACTGCTATACCCGTGAAAGTCGGTACTAGGAGACAAACTGCTATGACTGCCAATGTGTGCGTGGGCGTAGCAAACGATTGGTGAAACGTCATGTCATGCCAACCACCACGCCTAATTCCAGGGCCCGTCCACTTAAATCGGAAAAGTCGCTTAGGCGTGGTAGAGGGAAGAAGAATAAGTGGGCACAAGCCAACTCGGACTCAGCGTTTACTTCGTCACCAGAGATAACCCCACGGGTGTTGAAAATATCCCAGATAGGCTAGGCCGAGAGTAAAAGACTCTGGCAACCAAGACCTTCAGGCGCACTCCCGAATGGAAAGAGAAGGTGGATGCCAGTGGGGGAGGATGTATTCTGTACAGAATAGTTGGTGAAGGCGTTGGAGAGAGTTGGCAGCCGGACAAGGGCACGTTGGTCACGGGGGGAACGGCGTCCCAGGCGTCCGTCAGGGAATGCGTCAAAGCGTTGTAAGCGGCCTAACTGTGCTAAGTGTCGGAACCCTCCAATCGGATCCCCAATAAGAACACAAGGCAGTGGCCTAAGGGGAATATTCGGTATCATTTGGAGGGATGGGAAAACGGGTTGTAGTTTAGGCAGGGTAGAGAACACGGGAGGTTCTTTGGCGGAGACTGGCTGGCCTGGAGTTGGTCCTTGGTTGGTCCGGCAAGCGAGAACGGCAATGACGTGTGGAGGCGTCGGGGAAGCGCCCTCCGGGCCAAGGTGCCCGGAAATCAATTGCCCTCGATATTCAAGGGAGCTCCAGTCGATGCGGGTAGGTTTAATGAATAGACCAATAAGCAAGAGCAAGCAAGTACGGACAACGAAAGGTAGGATAACACAGAGGATTAGTCATTAAGGTAATCGAGGCTGCTATGGCCAATAGGATCAAAGTTGAAAGGTGGCTAACGCGGCGCCATGGTGCCACAGCGTGGTAGGCGGTCTATCATGATTAATCCGAAATCGGAAAAACAGCGTCTACATCCCTACAGCGTCTTAAGCCAGGACGCGTCTGACTCGGGTTGAATCTGACTGGCCAGTTGGAGAGCCGAGTGGGCGAATGCCAGACAGCCCTGATGCGCACCTGCGGACATTCGAGAAAGACCCAGTGTTGAGACAGGCGCCCGGAGTAGCGCCACTACAAAACTACCACGACAATCTGGCAGTTGGGACTGATGAAATAGGTCATTCCCATTCGGGAGCGAGGGTTAGACCGCAGAGGCTCTTTGATGCGCCCCCTCCATGACATATTTACTTGCCTTAGGCCAGACACCCTCGGATGATTTGAGGCCAGGAGTCCCATCGTGTGTGGCACGCGTAGGCGGGCTTCCTGGCCTTATGAGTCACTGCTACCACCTCCAGGTGCATATTCTCTCTTTCCGTTGTGCCTTACTGGCTCTCTCTCGAGCCCAACCAGTATATTCCCGATCAAAACCGACAGGGCAACGGTCTCGTGGCCCAGTTGTTAGAGGCGTGGACTTCTAACTAACAGATCGCCAGTTCGAGCCTCGTGTGTTCTACACTTCGGGGTTGGCTATGGCTGGCTGACGACGGTTAATAAACCAGAAATGGCCATTTCATTCTCCCTTGTCTTTGTCGGTTATAACATACTGTTTGAATTCTGTCCTTCTGGGCGTGAATAGTGAGGGAGTGAGATATATGCGGCGCATGAGGACCTGACTGCGAACAAATCCACGCGCGAGTCCGAAACCCCCCAAAAGTGGTCGTCGTCACATTCACAGCAGCTTGCTGGTCACGCGCGGAAGAGTTTTTCTGAGGCTGGTGGGACTGCGACGGTGGGTACGCACGCGCGTCAGCGAGAGACAGTCACGTGACGGCGGATGCGGTAGGTTGAAAGTGTTTGCGTCATTCTTCCTCTTTGTAAATGCTTGTTCGGGGAAATAATGTGGCAATTAAACCTGAGCAGTATCTCTGCTCGCAACTGCACCAGAATGAATAAACGACTCCAGAAGATGCAATTTGCGACAGCGAATATCTCGGCCTCGTTAGTTGACGTTTGATGGTTGTCTGTGGTCTGTGCACAACCTCATTTCCGAGTGGTGACAGATTAAGGGGCGATTTTCTCATACCGTAGGGGAAACACATGTCTAGTGCACTTTGATCTCTCGTCCTGTCTTCGGATTCACTGACTCACTTAGTTGCAGGAATTATCAGTAGCCTGGTCTATGTAGTGTACTTCAGCTCAGTAATTCCGTTATTTTTTAGGTCACTGCAATCTTTGACATGAAAAACAGCCAGCTGATTGTTTTTTTCATCATCTATCGTAGGAGGTGTGTGCAGGAAGAGGGTCCTGAGATGCTTGAAAGTCAGCAGCTGATCCATTTCGATGAACACAGGAGCACCATCCGCAAACTGAGTCCTGAATTTCAGTCTACAATGCTGGAGGATCAGAGACGGAGCATTATAAGACCGCCTCGGATATGAGTTGAGAATTCTGCCAATTCATAGGTGTGCTGTTCATCTGTTCGTAGATCGTACCGTCGAATATGAGAAAAATTTCTAGAGAGAGAAGTTAGGAAATTAGGGAATTTGGGGTCGTGTAAGACCGTGACTGTCAGACTCTTTAACAGCTGAACAGAAAGATAGGAGACAACAGGTCCTGTCCTCCCAAAAAGGGAGGTACAGCAGGTGGCGTAACTCATGAAATGTCAGGGTCGAAATTGGTGCGAGAAGTATATCATGCATTTGGTGTTCTTATTTGTGTTTATTAAAGTGAGTTGGACACAGAAAGCCATTTACTGAAGAAAGCTTCATTTCCAGTCCGTTTTATTGAAGGAAAAGAGGCCAGATTTGGGTTTAATCTGGCCTTTCTTGATATTCAGATAATTTCCTATATTGTGGAAATTTGCTGACCAAAGCTTTATGCTTACGTGAATTGTGCTGTACACAAAGATTAATATAAAATGGAAAAGTGCGAGATAGGTCCTGTCTGGGAACGGAAAATTCGATTTTGCTCCGAAGAAAATCAGGTGACGGCGAGCTTGAGAAATTTCACTGTTTTCAAAAAATGGCCAAAATCGACTTATGAAATTCATTTTTTGTAAATTTTTGGCGTTTCCTGCCATAAAATCTAGTTTGAAGAAGAAGAAGAGTTGAGCACCGGAACAATTCAATCGGACGAAATCATGGTCTCCTTCGATGTGACGTCGTTATTCACATCTATCCCACCAAACGTGGCCCGCGAAGTCTTGCGTAAGAGACTTGAAGAGGCGTACGATGAGACTCAGAATGCCCTCAAAATTGAACACCTCATGAGGCTGTTTGAATTCTGCCAACAAACTTTCTTCACTTTTGCGGGAGAGACCTATGAACAAATCAAGGGAACCCCTATGGGCTCACCGGTCTCCGGTTTGGTGGCAGAACTGGTCCTACAGGAGTTGGAAAAGATTGCCTTCCTCCAACATGAACCGGTGTTTTGGCGACGTTACGTTGACGACACGTTCGTCATCGTAAAGAAGGACATGCTGCAACATTTTCACAGCCTGCTCAACGCAGTCTTCCCGGATATAAAATTCGCGAGGGAAAAAGAACAGGAGCAGCAGTTGCCCTTCCTGGATGTGCTCGTCAGACGAAACCTTAACGGTGAACTGGAAACGACGGTTTATAGGAAGGCAACGAACACCACACAGCTTCTCAGTTTTCACAGCAACCATCCGGTGGCTCACAAACGAAGCTGTGTGAAGACGCTCTTCAAACGGACCCAAACTCATTGCAGCAAACTGGAAGATAGAGCGCGTGAGGCCCGTTATCTCCGCGACCAGTTTGTGCAAAATGGCTATCCGAGGGCATTCATAAGTCGCTGCCTACGCGGTCGCCATCAGAGAACTCAAACATCAACGCCACCGACGATATGGCATTCTCTGCCATACATCAAGGGTGTTTCAGAAGCGACCGAGCGCATTGCTGCGGAGCTAGGGGTTGGAATTGCACACCGCCCCAAAGCCACCATGCGCAACAGGGTCATTAAAATCAAAGACCGGTTAAAACCTGAAGAGCAATCCGGAGTAGTGTATCGCATTCCGTATCAAAATTGTCCTTGTAACTACACAGGACAGACGGGACGCATGCTCGGATCGCGCATACATGAACATAAGCTGGCTGTGCGGCGAGGCGACGCATTATCACAAGTGGCCGCCCACACCTACGAAATGGGTCACGAGTTTGACTTCGCAGCCACCAAAATAGTCGCCCACGCCGGAAACAAAACAGGCCGAGAATCGATTGAAGCCTGGGCCTCGGATGAGAACTCGGTCAATCGATTTATCGATCTGGCGCCGGCGTACAGAGCCCTTCGTAGTCACCTCCAGTCGTGCGACGTCGGTCGATGATTGGGTCTACGTGCCTTATAATTGCCGCTTGTCCTGTTTCTGCCACTACCTCTGACGATGGACTCCTGTACGAGTCTGAAAGCTCAGGATAATAAACGAATTGTTCCGGTGCTCGACTCTTCTTCTTCTTCAAATATGTATACACCTGGAACTCGAAATTTCGCCTTCATTCATAAAATCTAGTAATAATTTTGTTCTACAGTAGTTTGTTTTACCACACAGAGAGCCACTATGCGTTAACAGATATATATTGAGTACGCGCGACATGCTGCCATCTTTCTGTGTCCCGCCGTGCGATAAACATGTCCAGACAGGGTCTTTCAGCAGTCGACTATGAAAGGATACGGGAATTAGCCGCAAAAGGGTTGTCACGTGAGTCGTTAACAAGTATTTTTAATATTAGTAAGGTTACTCTGTGGCGAATACTCAATGATAGAACCGTACCCAGAAATAAGCAGGATAAACCAAAACGGTCCACAAGTCAGCCAGACGATGACTTTTTTCGTCCTACACTAAAAAGCATCAGTATATGCCCACTAAGACCATTCTTGACTACTTTAAATGAAGTATAGGTCTCTACTTGCAAAACCCCAAGTGCTGGAGGAGTTTGTCTGAATGAATTTCGTCATGGAGACTCACCGGAGTTGGTGCGCGCAGAACCAGAAGTTGTGTGCTCCGTCTGACCGGAAAAAGTATGAAGAACGCAGGCTGAGCCTCAAGGCGAAACAAACACTCCTTGAAATGGACCTCCAGACCGCATATAACACGGGGGGTTTTATTTCGCGTCATTTTGTTACCTTCGATGCCTTGGCGTCACCCAGTACCTAGTCTAAACTTGAATCTTCCCACTGAATACTCTGTAAGTGCGTAGAGGCCTCCCGAAGGGCAAAGGTTTCCCATCGCCGGGCCGATGGGATCGGCCCGAGCGATGATCCGAGTGCTCCTCCAAGATTGCCACGCGAGACTTCGCAAGAACCGTCAGAGGATTCACG